GTGAGATTAAAATGCAAGCACAGGTCAATGAAAGATTGACTTTCAACAGACGAACCAATGACCGAAAGAAACTGCGAGGCCTAATTCATTTTCGGCAAATTGAAATCACCCAAAAGAGACAATGAGGAATGTGGAAATTCCAAGAAAGAGAGAGTGAGAGAAATCATTTATCGAGTAAAGCTTGTGAATGAGGGTGGGAGGGTTCCTTTTTCTAGGAACTCTCTGGCCTGAACAGCCCGCCGCGCTCGAGTGACGAGTTGCAGTCACTCGAGCGCGGCGGGGTCTGGCTGGTCAGCGAGGTCTGGCTGGGAAATCACAGCCTCCGACGCTTCACTGAGGAGGCCTTGGTCCGCATCTGGTGCTGCTCTTTGTGGCAAATTCTGAAACCAGAAAATTAGAAACGTGATGCAGTTCATTGCAGAAAGTAGTTGGTGTATTTGTGGCTGACAACAAGCACAAAGCAGTGCGTTTTGGTAGTTTAAGACAGCACGCACACAAACCAATTGTAAGGATGTCGTCAGTGCAATCTTAGAGGACACTAAGTGGTCAGCAACAGCAATGAGGATGCCACCAAGTTTCAGATCGCAGCCCTTGCGGTACACAGCATAATTCTTGTCATAGTGAAAGAACTCTTCACTGAAAATTTGATCGGTCAACCAATGTGATCAGTGCAACCACGTCTGCGGCGCATGAATGAAAAATAGGTGCTTGAGCGCCGCGTTTATTGAATAGGTTGCGCACATTTGAGAATAAAAATGATACACCTTGAGAAGACTAGTTGCGTTCTTGATAGTCAACTTTGAAAACAAAAGACGCATCAGAACAGCGGTTCGTAACAACCGACGACATTTCAGCAGCAGTGGGAGCATTGCCCAATCGCAGTTCGCAGGACCCTGCTATATCAGGCGAGTAGATGTAACATTTTTCGTTGATGTATAGCTTAATAGTCATCAGAGTGAAAAATTTGCCTTACAAAAGTCTTCAGTTATAGACACACCAGTTTATTTTAACGCGTTTCTGGAAGACAGAATCGTTTCTTTTAGCTAAGACAAAAATTGGATGATAATAGGTCTGCGCCTATTAGCGAAGAAACGGCCAAGTCTGCGGATTAAGAATTACGCTCGTCGCTGCAATTGCGGTTCACGCTTAAGGCTGAATTCAATAACAAGCACATTTTTTTTTCTCTGACTGGGCCCAACTTTCAGCAGTGGATATCTACGCTGCCATGAAATATTGCTCTGTAGGTGATGCGGATGTCCAACGAACTTAAGAGATAGAGTAATGCTGTGCAAGTGAAACGACAAAATGAAAAAAAAATTATGGAAGTCTTCTTCATTGCTAGCAGTGACAAATGCGTAAGGATGCCTTCGCTGACGGATTTCTAAGGAACTGCAGTTTTTAGATGGTTGTAGGTATCGAATTATAGTAGTAATGTGGGACAGTCTACTGTATTTTCGGTGTCCGTCTGTGCGCATGCCTTTGTGTATCTTGGTTAGATTGTTTATAAACATCTGCTGTGTCTGGGACGTTGTAACTGTAGGTTTTATAGGTACGATTATCCTTCGTAATTTTGTTGTGATATGTACGGCCGTGTCAGGCTGCTGTTTATTCTTATAGATCCGCTTTGGTCTTCTGTTAACACAGTTGAAGTGTGCGTGCATACTGTTCACTCTTCTTCGTCCGAATTATTTGTCGCGAAAACCAAATATAAGGATTCATGAAATATTATTTTCTCGACGTGAATGGCTTTCCAATTCATTAAGGCGTCCGTTAAGTACGGCCATCTAAAGCGCTGTGCCCCCCCCCCCCCCCCCCAGTTGACCCCCAGCTGGTCGAATGCTTTGTTCATCTGCCGAAAGTGTGTTGTCAATATCGACGATTTACTTCTCCATTGAATGCTTAGCCTCTTCACTCAGACCAGAGATCACCTCTTAACCTTTGGCATCAAATTTGCCATGTAGCGATTTAACAATCTGCAGGAATTCTTTGTTACGGTCGTCTGGTGGGGTAGACCACGGTTTAGCTCGACATCCCAGGACTTGAACAACAAAGAAAGAACTAACCGCACTGGAACAGGACAGAGACTAGAAGACACAAACACAGCGCTGTTTTTGTCAGTATATGCCAACCAGCCCAATTCAAGAGGCTAATGAATAACAACTAGCGATGAATACACACTGACACATAATTGAGGCAAAAAGCTGTGAGCGTGGAAGCACTGGCAGCCAAACATTGTTTGACTTTTTACAGTGACGTGAAGGTGCTCTACTCACCTGCAACCATAAACGAAAAGGTGTTTCGAACAGGACGGATGCAGTGCCTTTATTTTCATGCAAGTGGCGCAAGTTACTATGGCAACTTTTCAGACCTGCTGATGACGATGCGTTGGTCGACTTGCTAGCCGCAAGTGGCAATGCTGCGGTAAGGCGTGGCCAATCCGCCAGAACTTTCTCGGTAGCCTCACAGCGGAACGGGTGCACGATCAGCCGGTTCAGCGTGTTGACGCCTCCGTTATTTGCTGCCGGTATCACTTGCGCCGGCGCAGTGGCGTTGAGGCTGTCCCATGTTGTCAATCGGCAAAACATTTGCACCCTGAGGAAAAAAAAACTTCTTGGAACATCTTCACGGTAGTAGTATTTTATTTCTCAATACCTTCCAGCTTTTCTTGCCCAACATAATCGCCGCTTTTTTCTTTATGCCACGCATCTCATTCTCCTCTATTGTCCCTGCCGCGAACTGTAAACCTTGAACCACAACCGCGAGCAACAGGCAGGCAGTCTACGCTCCCATGTTTTCCCAAGGCACGGAGCGAGCACCGAGACCTTCGGCAATTGGCGACTAGGTAACCTACTCTATCACTTTTGGTCCCTTTGGGGTAACGCTCCAGACACCAGACCCACTTCGTTCGACGGAAAGTGCGAAAATAGCCGCCGGCTGGTTACCTTGAGCGCTCTAACAGAGTTGTCTTGGAAGCCCTTACTCCAGTCTTGCTTTAAGGCATGACGCGTTCAAATACCGAAGGCTGTACACGAAGAAGACGTGATAGGCCGGTGGCTCGCTCGCAACGGGTTCGCCACGCTTTGAAACATCAATGGCACTGTGTGGGTCAGAGAACCTTCTTGTCTTGATTTTGACAATGTAGTCTATGTTACACGTCTGCGCGGACTCCGAGTAGACCAAAAGTCCGAGCCTAGCCTGGCGCGTGGACCGGGCTTCGGCAGCCCGACGTCTTTTCACCTCGTGCCCGGGCTCGGTCCGGTTAGCGTTGTGAGGTGAGTGGTTATTTTACTTTTTACCACCCTGTATTACATAGGTCAACGCAATTCCTTGCATTGCATGACGCCTGTCTTTTTGCAAATGAGCATCAGCCTAGATAGCGACATTTGAGGGCGTTATCCCCATGTATTAAAGAAAGAATTACAGCATATCCATGGAATGAATGATGATGAGTGGGGTGAAGCTTCGGATGGTTTTATCGGCAAACCGTGAATCGTCCGTCTGTCCGTCCTTTCGTCTGTCTCTATGGTTGTCTGTCCAAACCTGCTGAATGAGTCATCGAACTAGGTGGTCACGTAGGAGCTAGGAGGGACAGACCCACGGCTTTCAGGAGTTTCGCCCATATGCTAGAATACTCCACTGCCATGCAGGGGCCCAGGTTCAAATGCCATTGTTTCTTCTTTCATTTTATTTGTTCATGCCTATTGGTTACGTACGCTACCGAGAGCAACGGCAACGACGATGGCGCTGAACTGAAAGACGGGTGCGTTAAAACTGTCTTTTATCAAATCATTTTAAGCAATTTTGGTGGGTGAGCTGATTCATTCCTTTGCATACTCATTTGAAAAAAAAAAAAAGTACGACGAAGAGCTGGTTGGGTTCTCACTATGGACTGACAAAATAAAGGCTACACTTTCTTTGTCCACCTATTTAGCAAAACCACTTCCTATAAATTCTAATTCACATTATACTATGCGCGTGATGATGGCACAAGATAATCTTTTAAAGCTTCTATGTTGCGCCTTTTTAAGAAGTGAGTTGGTCCTCAGAAGTGTTGTGAAAACCAACATGCTCATGAATCAGTTCGGAATGCTTTAGACAGGAGCAGGGCTCACGAACAACACTTTGTACGCTATAACTCTCGTGTTGTCAATGACTCGTTTTTTGTTTATTTTGAAGCGTCGTTGACTAGCACAGATTTACGCGCTTTTGGTTTATCTTTAGATGCCGTAAATATTCCTCTTAAATCTAGCCGGTGATTTATGTGACCTTCTTGGTGTATGGCAAATTGGCAATTGAAATTCGTCTGGCAGAGATCTTAGCACTTTTCATTATCGCAGTCAGGATGCTTTCATCACAAATGACTTCCAAGGAAAAGGAGGAACTTTTGTGAAGTTTCTTTTTGTGCTACAATAAAAGAGAGTAAATTTAGGCACTGCCTTTAGGAAAAACAAGATAATAGGCTTTCTCTGAAAATTGAACGAACAAATAAGGGTTGGGGGGTCCGTTTGGGAAAACCGTTGTGGTAATCTGAAGGAACATGTACCGAATATTTTGATGCCTAGTATCGCGAGGAAGCATTATATGGCTGTGCGAAACTGCTACAGTGAACTACCAAGCTCTGTGCTGCAACTAGCATTTTCACATCCTATATAACGTTTAAAGCAAATTTTTTGCAATATTTAGGAATGAAAGAGCTTGGCCAGGAAAGATAAAAAAACGCATATTTTATTGATGTTCACTGAGCTTCGAAAGTCACTATTTTGACATTGAAATTTACTGTACTCCCACTCACTTCTGAAACATTACCGATTTGCTTATGTGTTTTGTCAATTGAAGACGAAGATGTCCGCTAAGCTGCTTGTATAGCTGACACTGGGCAGTTTTACTGCACAAAAGCGTTGTCGCCATTTTGATGGGAACCGTTTATTGGGCTGCAGCTTTGTTTGTGGAAATACGGACAAAGGATTCACCCAAGCCGTGACAACACAACCTGTATGCAGGTTTCAATAGTTTGGAGGCAGCGCGTGTGTTCGTGAAGCTGATGGACCGTCTCGGACGGAAGAGATTCTACGTACAAGGAGGAGACTGGGGCGCAATGATTGCCAAGCTCATGTCTACGTACTACTCTGACAGGTAAGTAACACTTGCGTGTATTCGCCCGTTCTTCCTGCTAAGTAGTTTGCCTTTCTTACCAAGCCTTCAACGCCAAATATGTTTTCTTCTACGTCTGCTCTTTCCACACATTTTCTCGTGACTGTACGTTTCGGTGAAAATTGACGAAATCAAACGAATTTTTTTTAGGGATCATACAGCGTCACATTACCAGAAGATGTATTCGGAACGCAAAAGTCATTGTGTTATATATAATGCTGTGCCCTTCTGAAACGCGGCTACTGGGCACAGTTGATTGATACAACAATACGCCGCCCAGCTGAAGATCGCATGCATCATTTCACCAATATAGTTAGTTCCTGCGGAAATTGATTGTACTAATTTCTTTGTTCATTCTGGTTTATCCAGGACAGGGGTTGTCAAACTTTTTTGCTTTGGGGAACACAAACTGCTTTTTCAGGGTGCCGAAAGTGAAATCCATACTTCCTCTTGAGAAGACCATGCATTGAAGTTTCTGACGCGCGCAGCTGCTGTATTAACACTGCCCGCGCTGGCCTATTGTATTTCCTTAAATCTTGCCATTGATGTAGAACCTGTAATTTCCTCTGCAGGCACCACTCGTCTGTTCACGTAAAAGGCGCTCGCCGACCTTCAGGCACTGCGCTGAGTATATGTGTTCACGCAAACCAAGTGCTGAACGTACAAACGTCCGTTTTATTTATTTGGTTTAGAAAACAGAAAGGGGGGAATGCCAGTCGCATAAGGAAACTGTCATCAACCGATACACCAATTGTAAAGCAAACCTAAGTGCTCTTTGAGACTATAGCCAGCACTAAGCGACACGCGCGTTTTAATCACGAAACCTACATGCAAGAGTGGCAAATAGGCGTCCTGTGAAAACTGCGCCGCCTGACAACCGACATTCCATGAGCCATCAATAAACCACCGATACCTATTTATGTCGTTTTAATCAAGGAGACTTTTTTTTTCTTTCAACCTCCTTAGTTTGAACTTGTTCTCGCGAGCACTCCACGCGTGCTGTGTCCGCGGCTCCGTAATCTATGAACGTTCTGTGGCGGCACAAAACGACGAGTCTTCAGTGTTGCCTCGACCACGCCTCGTCCACGCCCCATGCGTGGATGAGGCGTGCGTTCAAGTGAAAATTCAATGTAAATTTGCTTGTCTGAAGAAATGTTATAGTTGCTAATGGGGGTAAAACGGAAGTGGGATGCACTCGCTCTGGGTGCTTGCGGAACCGTAAGATGCGTTCACGGAACCCAGTTTGGAACCCATCATGTGATGGATTACTGTATGATTTTAGGTGGTGGGAACTTTATTTCACTTCATAAAGCATTGGTTGCTGTGATCAGTTACATTGGCGAACACATAATTTTGACTGTGACGTCCAACTTCGGGCAGTCCAGAGGGCCCATGGTGGGGCTCGTCCTGCCCGTCCCCACGTGGTTGCGGCCTGTCTGCCGAACCTGCCCCTTTAGGGGAATCAGCCCCTCAGGACTTCAATAAAGTTATTTGACTGACTGACCGTTCTATAGTAGATTGATACGAAGAGAAACAAAGGTGCCTGAAAAAAATTGTTACCTGCATCTTCCCACGGGGGAACTCGAGTAAATGTGTCGCAGAGTGGTGGGGGTATGAAGAGTGTTGCGTCTACTCGAGTCAAGCAAAGAGCCAAATCAAGTGAAAGCCAAGTAGAGACGCCTTTGAATGAATTCAGAACGCGAGCTCTGCCGCTCATATATAGACCCGGCCCGCATCCGAGGGTGACGAGACGAAAATGCGCAGTGGAGGTGCACTCTAAGGCAAAAGGGTGTTTAAAGAGTGTGGGGTTCGTCCTTTTGGGGACCAATGGGGTTCCCACAACCATTAATTCCTTTAAGGATTAACGGCACCGGGTCTAACAGTTAGTCCCCGCAGACTAGCTCAAAGAACAAAGATTTAGTCCCCACATTTACACCTTAATGAGTAACCGTAAGTCCCACAATTCACCTCAAAGGGCTAACATTTAGTCCTCACATTTGCGCCTTATAGGGCAACTGTTAATTCTCACATTTACACCTTACCGGGCAACCGTTAGTCCTCACAGTCGCACCTCGCCGTACGAGCGGTTGATCCACTCAAATACTCCAATCGGATGAACTTTTTATCCCCAGCTCAAACATTGCTTTTTGTTTATTTTCCGCCAGGCCTAATACTTTTTTCGCCTGTTTTTCTGCGCAGTGAGCAACAAATAGCGCAGAAAAAAACACGTGAAAAAGTAGTTAGCCACCTACGTGTAACTGCTTTCGCAGTCACGGCAACAACAAAAGACAAAAGTGAGACATCAAAATCATTTATTTTTCTACATATGAAGTTTATCCATTCTTTTAAGTGAATTCACGGTAAAGTGTACAAGTCCAGTCTAGTTGTCAAATCCTGTTCACTCCTTGGGGAGCTCCTCCGACGGAAGCGTTAGATGACAGGCATTGCAACCGCCAGCGCACGCAGCTTTCTGCCTGTTGTATTCCCACGGCGGCACGCACAATGGCACAGTAAAAATAGTTAGACACACGTGACAGAAGATGAAGATGCACGCATATGACAAGTACATTCAAGTTAATATAAAACATGCGTGTAAATATGACACACAAATAACTTTACCTTCACATCTCGTACATTCCTTCTGAAGCTGCTCTGACGAAAGAGATGGATGACAGGCATCGCAGACGCCAGCGCACACAGCCTTCGGCGTGTGCCCACGGCTGCACAATAAGTATGTAAAATAGTGAGTCACACGTGGCAGAGGATGAATACGAATGCATATGAGAAATACGTGCAAGGTGAAATAAAAACATACGTGATATATCACATGCTAATAATATCACCGTGATGTCACACATCATCACAGACTCGTTTAGATTCCCGTAGCGCAACAGCTTAGGAGCGGTGGCCGCAGCCACAACTCCGCGAACCACCGTGCCGCCAAGAAGTCAGAGCGTTCTAAGCGAGCGATGTCGTTCAGCTCGAGCAAGCGAACGGAGAGACCAAACACGGCGCTGCACGCGGAGTGTCTGCCGCCAGTGAACTTCGAACAGGAGAGTGAGCGTACGCTTGGCCGCCGCCACGAACAGCGCCAGCTGGTTGGGAGCTAGCGCTGAAGAAATCGACGATAATGCGGCCCTTTTCCACAAACTCGAGCGAGTGCAGTGCGCAAACGCGACGTCCGCCGCCGCGGCCAGCGGACGGCACCAAGCTGTTTGCGACCGACAGACGGGAAAGCCAACTGTAATGGCGACCAATTTTCAGTGATTTCCGATGCTAGCGAAAGCACCGCCAGTCCGTGATGGTGCACTTACAGCAAGCGACATACTACAACTAAGCTCGTTACGAGAACCCGCAACGTGTTTTCGACAACTCCCAATACAGCGACGAGGTCTCAGCCCAATATCGCCAGCCCGGAGCTCATCGCGGCGGCGAAGACAGGCGAGCACTCGATGAGCGAGCGTATGGGAGGCCGACGGCAATGGCAGCCAATTTCCAGGTGGCTGCAAAGCACAGGCGAACTGCAGACGCCGAAGCTCACCTTCGCGATGCATTTCGTGCGCGCGATATACAACACGACCGAGCCCATTGCCAGCAAGTGCAATCCGTATCGCACACGCGACAAGTAGAGTAGAATAAAGAATGATAACCTACTAGCGAAAAAATCCAGTGCTGATTTCTGCCCTGACTCGGACTGAAGTATATATCTGATCGGCCTGCTGTCTTCTCGGCTGCCATGTTGGCCTTCCCAACTGTTGCTGTCGTATGTTGGTCGTGACTATCTCGAAGCCAGAGATATACAGCGCGGTGTGGTGACGTGTCGAGACTTGCTCCAGACTTCGTGGGTGCAGCGAAACGTAAAAGCAGCAGCCCACGCTGATCCAAGCGTACACACAAGCACCCCGTCGTAATTCCTAGATCGTCGAATCCAGGCGGCCGTGATCGAGTGACTGCGACGCAAGGCGAACCGTCGCCAGCAAAATACGGGGAAAAACTGAGCCAGGAGAGGAGGAGGACGGCTAGTCACCTTGGCAACACTTTGCGCGCTGCCTGCATTCCCCGGGTGCTTCATCCCTGTGGAGCGTGTTTGGAGACTAAGCTGTTTACACGCGGCACACTTCCCTCTGTGGTTCCTCCTCAATGGTCTATCTATTCATTGCGCGCGCCTATTGGGCCCCGTTACTTCTTTTTCGGGTAATTTTGCCTTTTTGTGTGTGGATAGCGCCGACGCCGAAGCGCGACATCGTGCGCCTAAGAAATGCTCCACACTTTTAAATTCACATAGCATTCGGTACTTTTGTGCGATGTCTAATTGGAGTTCAGGTCAGGAGGATACCGGAGTAAGCTGTGTTAAGCCTCGGCTCGGGCAGATTTTTCGGTGGCTGCATGCAGCAGGCAAAGCACATTCACCTGTTTCTTCGCCTATTGTTGAGGAAAACAAGCCAAGAAAAAGCGGGAAGTCAAGAACGCCCTCCTACAGTGGGGTCATCGGCCGCGCTGAGTCGCCGTTCTCCGAACCGAGAAGGCATAAAGTTGGGGTGCGCTCAGATACGATATATTGGAAGTTTAGGTTAACGGTGAAATCGACTGTTTCGTAATTCGGGAACGCTACGATGCTGCCACCACGCGGCAGTTACTTGAACGCGCGATTTGGCATACTGCGCTCTTCGAAATCACAGGGATGGTGGATACAGCACGGTCGAGGTCATAAGGCTCTCCGAAGCATAGAGTTTCTCATGAATATACTCGGGGGAACTCTGCCACCAGTGTCTATGGGAGCTGCAACGCATGGCGCTTAAGCCAGCGTGGGAATGTCGGGTAATGCACGGAGTTGTCTAATCTTCGTTCTTACACCTCTGTCTGGCTTCGGGTAGCTTGGAACCGCTTTTTTGCAAGCCTGAAGCTCGGAAAGTCTGCAGTTCCAGTACACCACTTTAACTATTTAGGCGCACCAATTTATATCGTTTCGCGAAGTTCTCAACGATCCGTTCTTTTATTCAAAACAAAAGCACAACACAGCAGTAAACAAAGCCACGAGTTTGTTCGAAGCCCAGAAACACGAAGACTAGGCAAATCCATGTACTACCCATATTTCTCATAATGGCTGAGCGATCGTAGCACCAAAGTTCCCTCAAGCTCATATTTCAAAATTCTGTGCTTTAAAGTAGTTTCCTGCTTCTTCGTCACTCCCCCCCATATTCTGGTGCTTCCACCGCGCTTCTCGATGAAAAAGATGTGAGTGAGCACATAAATTGTGCCACAGTTCTATGCAAGTCTGTTTGTATTTGAAAATTATTTAAAAAATGCGTCTGGCAATTGATCGATAAAGCAATAAACTCGGATAGCAAGCTCATTTCTTGATTATAATAAGAAAGTGTTGATGGGCCCTTTTAAAGATAACGCTCTAACATTTCCTTGCAAATGTTTTTTTCTTCTAATTTGTGTGACAGAGGCTCTAACGCTTTTTGGAGCCTCTTATCACAGTGAAACGATATCGGTCCCCCTTTGCGAATAACTGCATGAAGATGTGGGTAATCGAGCGATCAACGAGTGTAGCGTGTGCACGCAGTGTCGCAACACACGATGCCACAGGTATGAATGTTTCAGAATACGTCTCGTGCAGAGTGCTCGGGGCACACATGAACATGATGGATGTGGAGTTCAACCCGCTGATGGCACTCAAGATGCTGGTCGGCTCCTTCTATCCCTCCGTGGTGCTGGCCGACGGAGAGCGGCAAGTGGCTGCTTATGCGCTGCCCCTGTGGCCAAAGCTGAAGTACCTGCTGCGAGAAAGTGGATACATGCACCTGCACGCCACAAAGCCTGACACCATCGGTACGTTTGCATTCACTCGTTAATGGTTACTACTCAATACAGTGCCAGAATTTGCTTAGGTGCGGATCACTGAGGCGCAAAAAACTCATCATGAAAAATGGAGGAGCAGATGGGGCCACTTCTTGAGGCCGCAGGAAAAGAACGTGTAAGATTTGGCGTTCTGAGCTGGGCCACCAAGTGTAGATGCTGAATGACATTTTCAGGTGCTTGTGTCACACCTATTTTTCCGGCATGGCTGGTTACAAGAGAGCTGAAGGTGAGTACTTCCATAGAAACTGCGTGGAACAGCATGCTCTCTTGCTTGCTGAGGAGTATTACCAAGACTTCCACCCCCTGAAAAAAACGGCAGCATATCCACGGGGTGAATGATGGAGAGTGGGGCGAAGCATCCATCCGTCCATTCGTTCTTGCTTCCGTCCGTCCATGCGTCTGTCTGCGTGACCGTCCGTGCGTCCATCTGCCCGTCCAGTGCGTGCGTCTGTTCGTGCGTCCGTCCGTGCGTACGTTCCTACGTTCGTCCATGCATCCGCCCTTGCGTCTGTTCATGCGTCCATCCGTCCGTGCGGGCATCCGTGCGTCCGTCCATGCATTTGTCTGTGTGTCCATTCGTCCATTTAGTCAACACTCCAAGTACCACCGTCTCGCATCTTTTCATCATATATTCTGCATATGGAAGCACCTCCATCCAGCGGACATTCCAAGGACTAAACGAGAAGTGGCACACGCACACTTTCTTACGGCTTGCGCTTCGTGTCTACTTCCCACTTTTGACCACCTGGAGTTCATAGTATATACTAGTTCACTGTATTCATGGCACTGTGGCCCAACGCTCGCTAAACCTTTTTAAAAACAAGGAGGTTATGCCCAGCGAGCATAACGTAGCAATCCTTTCTTGTCAGATAGTGCTCAATGTACATGATAATGGCTGCTAATGGGAAATGAGAGACAGGAGAATTCGGATTTTAGTTAACGCGCACGCTGCGAATTTTTTATTGTACAGCAACGCACAGGAGAAATCTTCCACCGAAACCACCTTGCAGGTCAAAGCGTAAGACATGTTACGTACTACGTCGAGGGACGAACGGGTGCCGCTTTAAGGAGCTTTGCCCCTAAAAAAAACAACGTACATATTGCTGAAACCAGAATTCCTGACAACATAGCTAACCTTCTCAATAAGCGACCGAAATATGGTCTTGCGCCTCTGGTTACGGTACAGGAACTGCTTGTGTGGGATCTGCAAGTAGCAAGGAAGGTGCCCCTTGAACAGTGCGAACGTGGCCTACTAGAATGTGTTGTCAGTCTATACAAGGCTGCCCCCAAGGCCGGCACTGGACGACAAGTGCGTGTGTTGCAACGTGTAGTGTCATTTTTTAGAGACAATGAACTCTGTTTAATACAGTCCGATAAGGAAGGCGGGTTTGTGGCCTTGTACAGACGCTCCTTTGAGAAAAAAGCAAAAGAAGCGATCAACAAGAACAAGAACGCGCAACTAAATCCGTCTACTCTTCCGGCTTGTTCATTTGCGATGAGACCTACACGAAACCCAACCCGCCTTCCTTGTTTTCACGTTCAAAACAAACATTTACTCGAGCAAACACTAAACCTTGTTTCGCTTCAAACTGTTCTCCCAGCAATCGCGTCGACGCCTGTTTCAACCGAGTCAACACCGTGCGCACCGCTCCTGCAGCGCATCCCATCAGGGTTCCCTCCGGAGAGATGAGGCATATTTCTTTGAGGCTAGATGATGCATTTTTTCTGTGCGGTTCATAGACTGTCATTAAACAGCTTGAAGTCGGCGCTGCTCTTTTTTTTTTCCACTGTGCCTCCCTTTTTCACAGTATGTTTCTTGCGCCTCAGTCATTCGTACCTAAGCAAGCTAAGCACCAGCTCATACAAAAAGAAGTCATTTTTGAATTACCATGCCAGAAGTTCTTGTTATGCTGACAGAGGTCGCAATTTCAAATCGAGTTCCGTTTGCCATGTTCTGAAATTCGACTTTAGTGTAGCTGTTTTTTTGAACATATCAGTGTCCAAGATCTACCTATATGCTCTGGGAATTTAGCTGCTACAAAACTTTATTGTGATGTGCTTAGAGAGAATAATACGAGCCAAGCATTTTTGGCTATGCTTTAGGTCATCGGGCATCGCAACAAAGAAGAAACATGTGCGTGCTGTTTGAGCTCCTCGCTAAAATGCTACGGGCACAGCTGTTTCGGCCTAATATGAATGTTGTTGACAATTAATGGTTTTTGCTTTCCTCACCAATACACTCGTCATCTTAATCATCTGACGAAAACCCAAGCAAGCGAAGCTTGCCCCCGATTGAAGCAATTCTGACGTTACATGAGCGGCCGGCACTGATGATCGTCTTCTCAAGTTTTGCAGTGTATCGGATGACCAAGGTTGCCGCACCATGCAACTGGCTGCGCATTTGTCATTTCTATCTACTGGACTATGCCGGGTGCACTGCTATTATGAGCAAGCTGCACTTGTTTGCACCTATAGTCATAAATTGCGTCATTACTCCTGGAGCTCCATATCTTCGGGTTCTTTTAGAACATTTGTCATTTATTCGTGTTAATACCACGCAAATTGCCAATCTTTCGAAATTCGCTATTTAATTTTGCATTATAAGTTGCTGCAAAAACCACTTCCCACCCTTAGTCGCTTTTTAGCATGTTTTGAATGTGAAAAATCCTATAACTTGGGTAAGTGCTGAGGACTTAGTGAAGCACAAGCTAAGAACAAATCTGAAGCTCTTTTCGTCTCATGGAAATGCACAAATCGCTATTCGCAACGCCTGAGGGAGCAGGTTAGTGGTGAATGAGGGAATGACCAGGATGTGTGTGCTCCACTAACTACAATTCGAGAGTGGCTCGATAAGCTTGATAACCTTCCAGTGCAAGTTGGCAGCATTGATAAAGCCATTTCTCACCTGTCTGACAAGTACGATGAGATTTCAAAAACTATGAATCAGCAGGACGCCGAAATAAAACACCTAGACAAGCGTGTGGGTAAGCTCGAAGACCAGAGCAACTCCGTGCAGATTTGGGAGCTGAAGTTAGCGGTACATAAACTTGAATTGAGAAGCCGCACACAGAACTTAATTTTTCATGGAATAGCTCAGTCTGACAAGAAAGATTTGCCCTCTAAGATTAACGTGGTTGGGCAATCCTTAAATCTTCCTGTCCTCTTGAAATACGACGTGTAAGCCTTGTACAGGCTACCATCAAAGACTGGGAAGCTTCCAGGAGTCATTGTTTGCTTTGTAAAACTGGAAACAAAAAGTGTATGGCGGCAGGGAAATAGGAGACTGAAAGAAAGGGGCGATCTAAAGTGTCAATCACCAAGAACATGACACAACACAATGAGATTTTGCTGCAGTCCGCAAAGCAATGGGCAGATCACAATGCCTTCAAGTATGCAAGACACCGCGATGGCAAAACTCATGCGCGGAACGACGTATGACGGAGAAGAGGCTCATGTTATCCAACACGCAGAGGATTTGACGCGACTGGCCGTGTAACAAGGCGACTAGCTGTGTAATGCAATAATTCCATTCGTACACTTTCTTATCCACCATGGATCCCCAGTATGTTTCCCCTAATAACATTGGCAAACTTGTTACTCAATCTAAATTATCAGTGCTGCACATTAACATTGAATCGATCAGTGGTAAACAAGATCTTTTAGAAATGTTTCTTTGCAAATTCGATTTCAAATTTGTTGCCATAAGGTTGAATGAAACTTGGATGTTAGACAATGATTATTTCGCTCTTTATAACTATGGTTCTTTTTATTTGCATCGTGTTGGTAAATGTGGTGAAGGCATATGTTTTCTGTTGCTAAAGCACATGCAATCGGACAGGATTGAACATTCATGTGCTGTTACACCTGATTACGTTACACCTGATTATGTGTGCTTTCTGGTAAAATAATTTGTGTTGTTGTATACCGCCCCCCATGTGGTCGCACTAAAGATTTCTTTTCTTATACTGAAAGTGTTTTTGAATTTGCGTGTCAGTGCTAATATACAATTTTCCTTGGAGGTGATCTCATTATTGATATTATTGAAAATTCTCAAAGATGCACACAGTTGTTGATTCTGACTGAGTATTATCTTCTTCAATATGTTAGCACTGTACTGACCCGTGTTACCACATCATCTGCAACTGCACTCGACTTGATAATCACTTATGAATCCACCGAATATGTTTTTGCAGGGGCTATAACAGAGAATTGAGTGATCACCTCCCCGTGCTTCTGTTGAGCAATGTATTTTTGGTTTCTGACAAAATTACACATGAACCGTTATTTCAGACACAAATTATTAACATCAATTTATTGAAAGAATTTCTTTGCGTAATGTGAAATTTTAATTGGACGCCACTGTATATCCACGTGACTGCAGATGAGGCACTTAACTTTTTTTAAACACTTTATATTGTTTTATAGCAACACATTCCCATACAGGGTTACGAAAAAAAACGAAGAAGGCTCATAAGCCTTGGATGACGTCCCGCATCCTTAAAATGATATCCAAGAAAATCAACTTATATCAGAAATTTTTACAGATTTGCGAACATCTCGATTTCATAGCTTTTAAAAAAAGTTTGCAATAATTTGAATAGCACAATACAAAAATCTAAAAAAGAGTATCACATTCGCTTATATTTAAGCATTAGTGATCAAAAGATTCCATGGAATAGGTTAAACATGTTGCTAAAATCTGAACGAATGTGCTTACCTGTTTCTCTAACGATTGATGGTATCAGCTACGCTGAGAGAGACTTAACTGACAAGTTCAGTGAATACTTTACATCCCTGGTTCAAAGTGAGCATGACCTCAGCACACTCGATTACATGAAAAACCGTGCACAGGACACCATGGCACTTATTGAGTGCGATAACTATAAAGTATTAGCCGCTTTCAGACGTATAAAAACCAGCAAATGTGCGGACGCTTTTGGTCCAACGATGAGACCTGTGTTACATGTCCT